ACACGCACGCACACACACGTACGCACACACACGTACGCACACAGAAGCAGACGGAGACAGCCAATACAGTCTATGGTACAGCCGCGGATCACAAAGCACCTGTCAAAGCAATGCACTCTCCGAACTATATGAAGCACTATATGAACCGTCACGTGGTGCGGCCGCTACGCGAGGCTTCGAACGTCACCACATACGTCACCAACACACGCCTCGAACCACGCTTCAAAAAATACGCCCCTTTTTTACTCGGTACACGCTTCGAAGACCCGGCACGCTCAGCACATCACTACTGATTACCTGCCCTGCCCTCATCTGTCTCACCTGTGTCTCGTTAGTCTTGTATTTTAGCCCTGTGTGTTCCTTCACTCCCTGTTCCATCATTGTCATTCGTAGTCTGTTTTGGTTCTGTCCGTTCCCTGTGTTTTTGGTAGGTCTTGATTTGTATTACTTTTATTAAATCCATCATTTTGCAGTTTTTGCCTTTTGGGCCTCATTTGTTTTTCACCCACGTGACACAATCCGAATCTCTCTTGATCTTAATCTTAATCTATATAACTTGAGGAGGGCTCAGGGGCCTGATAGAAGCATCCTAAAGGGCCGCATCTGGCCCACGGGCCGGGGTTTGTCCATCACTGCTCTAGACTCTACCTAGTCTCACTCTGGTCTCTCTCTGCTCTCTCTCTAGTCTCTCTCTAGTCTCTCTCTAGTCTCTCTCTAGTCTCTCTCTAGTCTCTCTCTAGTCTCTCTCTAGTCTCTCTGGTCTCTCTCTGGTCTCTCTCTGGTTTATCTCTGGTCTCTCTCTGGTTTATCTCTGGTCTCTATCTGGTCTCTCTCTGGTTTATCTCTGGTCTCTATCTGGTTTCTCTGGTTTCTCTCTCTTTTGCACACGGCGCAACACAAATATATATTTTGTCCTCTTACATCACGTCAGCTGTCTTGAACGGCCACAACTTTCATAAATTCTGCAAAATCGACTTTTTCTCAATTCACAGCAAGAAAGTCCTGGGTTCTATTCCACCCAGGAGCGTGGAGTTTGCAAGTTCTCCCAGTGTCTGAGCAGGTATCCTCCAGGTGCTCCAGTTTCACCTACTACTAAAAACATATAAAATGGGTATAATAATGTTTGGAGACTTTAATGAGCTATAGCAGAAAAATATATGAAATTGCAATTCTTACAATCACACCCCTATGTATTCAGTCTGTAATTTTATAATTAAGAATAAAAACATACTATATTCTCTTCCTCCCTCTGGTGGCAGCACAGGGAGTTACAGTTGGAAAGCATTTTTTTACCCATAGACCAAAATCACAGCAGTAGTTTCTCTGTGGACTTTCCAAAGGTGTCCAAATAGTTTCTGCTGAAGAAAGTTGATCTAAAATACCTTGTGATATCCCTTCTTTAAAGTCAGAGCAGACGTTTTCATATATGTGTCAGTTAAAACAGTCAAATCGACTGCTCTGTTTACTTGTGGGGAGGTGGAACAGACAGTGGTCAGTCTCCTGCTGCTGATTCTCATTCTGCCCTCGTCCGCCTCCGTCTCCCACTCAATTTACAATTAAGACGATCTGAGAGCTGTGGAGCGTGACGGGAGGATTGTGTGTCTTTCTGTGTGTGGAAATGGACCTAAAGAGAGTGAGGAGGGAGGGGTACCTGACTCTGTGTCCTCCTCACCCTTCACTCCCTTCTATAAAAACATACAACCAAATAAGACGCATGGTTTGGAAACAGACTAATTACTGGTAACGATGGTACGTGTGACATCACCACGGTCCAAAGGGACGATAGTTTCACATCGTGATGGAGGGCAGCTGAAAAATCCACCAATGTAGCTATCGTAACTATGGTGACGTCAAAGGTCATAAAGGCTGTATCTCTGGTTTCTCTCTTGTCACTCTCAGCTCTCTCTCTTGTCTCCTTCTGGTCTCTATTTTGTCTCTCTCTCTCTCTCTCTAGTCTCCCTCTCTCACTCTCTCTCCCCCTCTCTCTCTGGTTTCTCTCTCTTGTCTCTCTCTCTCTCTAGTCTCTCTCTCTCCCAGTCTCTCTCTGGTTTCTCTCTCTCTTGTCTCTCTCTCCCCCTCTCTCTCTCTGGTTTCTCTCTCTCTTGTCTCTCTCTCTCTCTCTCTAGTCTCTCTCTCACTCTCTCTCCCCCTCTCTCTCTGGTCTCTCTCTCTCTTCCCTCTCTCTCTCTGGTCTCTCGCTCTCTTCCCTCTCTCTCTCTCCCCTCTCTCTCTGGTCTCTCTCTCCCCTCTCTCTCTTTTCTCTCACATTCACACAACTAGATATTTCTTGCACTAGACTAGACATGTTATTGTTAAAGAGCGACTAAACACCAAATCAAATTTTTTCAACTCATAAACTGCATAAATATGTTTATTGTAGTGCTCTCTACATATCCTGGTCATTTTTTTGACATTTTAGTTCAAATTAGATAAAATATCACTTTTGAGCCAAATAACGTCTGTGTGGCGCCCTCTCAACCTTTTTGGTGGTACTACATTTGAATTTGGTTCTGGCCTCTCCATTGACTCTCAAGTTCTCTATGACATCAGTTGTTTTGTGTGACGTCAGTCTGTCAGAGCCAGTGATATAAACCCATTCAACTCTCACACACGCCCCAGCTGCAGTTTGGAGTATTCTGGCGCCATCTAGTGGATTAAAATTAAATTACATGAGTAATTCTGAGATTATTGAGTGTGATTAGGTTCAGGTGTGTAGCTTTACAATTATCTTAGTGTGTAATCAAGGGTAGAATGAGACTTTCTGGTCCGTAAACTATTGTTTTAAGCAGCAATGTTTTTTTTAGTGAGACAAGTGAGCTGTCAATCACAGCCCAGACCACGCCCAGCTCTAAGCCCCCCTTATTGTCCCTTAGTCCTCCAGGCAACGCCCTTTTAAAAGAAAATTTTCAAATGTTCATGTGGGCGGAGTAAGGCTGGGCACAGGTGTTTAGTCGCTCTTTAAGCTAACACACACTCACCATGTGTCGTGTGCTCCTCATTCCTGCTGTACCTTTGTCCTGTACCTGTGTCCTGTACCTTTGTCATGTTCCTGTGTCCTGTACCTGTGTCCTGTACCTGTGTCCTGTACCTGTGTCCTGTACCTTTGTCCTGTACCTTTCTTCCTGTACCTGTGTCCTGTACCTGTGTCCTGTACCTGTGTCCTGTACCTGTGTCCTGTACCTGTGTCCTGTACCTGTGTCCTGTACCTTTATTCCTGTACCTTTGTCCTGTACCTGTGTCCTGTACCTTTGTTCTGTACCTTTCTTCCTGTACATGTGTCCTGTACCTGCGTCCTGTACCTGTGTCCTGTACCTTTGTTCTGTACCTTTCTTCCTGTACAGTACCTTTGTCCTGTACCTGTGTCCTGTACGTGTGCCCTGTACCTTTGTCCTGTACCTGTACCTGTGCCCTGTACATGTGTCCAGAACCTGTGTCTGTGTCCTGTACCTTTGTTCTGTACCTGTGTCCTGTACCTTTGTCCTGTACCTCTGTCCTGTACCTGTGTCCTGTACCTGTGTCCTGTACCCTTTTCCTGTACCTTTGTCCTGTACCTCTGTCCTGTACCTGTGTCCTGTACCTCTGTCCTGTACCTGTGTCCTGTACCTGTGTCCTGTACCTTTGTCCTGTACCTCTGTCCTGTACCTGTGTCCTGTACCTCTGTCCTGTACCTGTGTCCTGTACCTGTGTCCTGTACCTTTGTCCTGTACCTTTCTTCTTGTACCTGTGTCCTGTACCTTTGTTCTGTACCTTTCTTCCTGTACCTGCGTCCTGTACCTGTGTCCTGTACCTGTGTCCTGTACCTGTGTCCTGTACCTTTGTTCTGTACCTTTCTTCCTGTACCTGTGTCCTGTACCTGTGTCCTGTACCTGTGTCCTGTACATTTGTCCTGAACCTGTGTGTGTGTCCTGTACCTTTGTCCTGTACCTGTGTCCTGTACCTGTGTCCTGTACCTTTGTCCTGTACCTTTGTCCTGTACCTGTGTCCTGTACCTGTGTCCTGTACCTTTGTCCTGTACCTTTGTCCTGTACCTGTGTCCTGTACCTGTGTCCTGTACGTGTGCCCTGTACATTTGTCCTGAACCTGTGTCTGTGTCCTGTACCTGTGTCCTGTACCTGTGTCCTGTACCTTTGTCCTGTACCTTTCTTCCTGTACCTGTGTCCTGTACCTGTGTCCTGTACCTGTGTCCTGTACCTTTGTCCTGTACCTGTGTCCTGTACCTTTATTCCTGTACCTTTGTCCTGTACCTGTGTCCTGTACCTTTGTTCTGTACCTTTCTTCCTGTACATGTGTCCTGTACCTGCGTCCTGTACCTGTGTCCTGTACCTTTGTTCTGTACCTTTCTTCCTGTACAGTACCTTTGTCCTGTAGCTGTGTCCTGTACGTGTGCCCTGTACCTTTGTCCTGTACCTGTACCTGTGCCCTGTACATGTGTCCAGAACCTGTGTCTGTGTCCTGTACCTTTGTTCTGTACCTGTGTCCTGTACCTTTGTCCTGTACCTCTGTCCTGTACCTGTGTCCTGTACCTGTGTCCTGTACCCTTTTCCTGTACCTTTGTCCTGTACCTCTGCCCTGTACCTGTGTCCTGTACCTCTGTCCTGTACCTGTGTCCTGTACCTGTGTCCTGTACCTTTGTCCTGTACCTCTGTCCTGTACCTGTGTCCTGTACCTCTGTCCTGTACCTGTGTCCTGTACCTGTGTCCTGTACCTTTGTCCTGTACCTTTCTTCTTGTACCTGTGTCCTGTACCTTTGTTCTGTACCTTTCTTCCTGTACCTGCGTCCTGTACCTGTGTCCTGTACCTGTGTCCTGTACCTGTGTCCTGTACCTTTGTTCTGTACCTTTCTTCCTGTACCTGTGTCCTGTACCTGTGTCCTGTACGTGTGCCCTGTACATTTGTCCTGAACCTGTGTCTGTGTCCTGTACCTTTGTTCTGTACCTGTGTCCTCTACCTCCCCTACCACTAAAAACATGTGAGTGCCTCCATTTCCAGTTTTTCCTAAAATGCAAAAACCGTTTCTGAACGCCTGCGACCATGTGAGATCCGCCTGCGACCATGTGAGATCCGTCTGCGACCATGTGAGATCCGTCTGCGACCATGTGAGATCCGCCTGTGACCATGTGAGATCCGCCTGTGACCATGTGAGATCCGCCTGTGACCATGTGAGATCCGTCTGCGACCATGTGAGATCCGCCTGCGACCATGTGTGACCATGTGAGATCCGCCTGCGACCATGTGTGACCATGTGAGCCTGTGACCATGTGATCCGCCTGTGACCATGTGAGATCCGTCTGCGACCATGTGAGATCCGCCTGCGTGACCATGTGAGATCCGCCTGTGACCATGTGAGATCCGCCTGCGACCATGTGAGATCCGCCTGTGACCATGTGAGATCCGCCTGTGACCATGTGAGATCCGCCTGCGACCATGTGAGATCCGCCTGCGACCATGTGAGATCCGCCTGCGACCATGTGAGATCCGCCTGTGACCATGTGAAACCATGTGAGATCCGTCTGCGACCATGTGAGATCCGCCTGCGACCATGTGAGATCCGTCTGCGACCATGTGAGATCTGCCTGTGACCATGTGAGATCCGCCTGTGACCATGTGAGATCCGCCTGTGACCATGTGAGATCCGCCTGTGACCATGTGAGATCCGCCTGCGACCATGTGAGATCCGCCTGCGACCACCATGTGAGATCCGCCTGCGACCATGTGAGATCCGCCTGCGACCATGTGAGATCCGCCTGCGACCATGTGAGATCCGTCTGCGACCATGTGAGATCTGCCTGTGACCATGTGAGATCCGCCTGTGACCATGTGAGATCCGCCTGCGACCATGTGAGATCCGCCTGCGACCATGTGTGACCATGTGAGATCCGCCTGTGACCATGTGAGATCCGTCTGCGACCATGTGAGATCCGCCTGCGACCATGTGAGATCCGCCTGTGACCATGTGAGATCCGCCTGCGACCATGTGAGATCCGCCTGTGACCATGTGAGATCCGCCTGCGACCATGTGAGATCCGCCTGCGACCATGTGAGATCCGCCTGCGACCATGTGAGATCCGCCTGTGACCATGTGAGATCTTCCTCCAGACCCTCTCCTGGTCCCATCGCTGAGTCTCCCATTCCATCCATCCATCCATTTTCTACCCTTTAATCCATTTCTGGGTCAGGGGGGTGGCAGTCAGAGATGCCACCCAAGTCTCATAGCACCAGCCCCTCACTGACCCTCTGCAGGTGGTGAGTCCACAGGAGGACGGCTGCTCTCTGAGTGTGAGCATAGCCTTGATCTTTCAGTGGGGGCTTTGGGCAAAGTGGGGTTAAGTGTCTTGCCCAAGGACACAACGACAGCAGTCATCAGTGGGAGTCGGTGGAGAAGGTGCAGAGGTGGGAATTGAACCCACAACCTTCTGGCCATAAGGCGAATGCTATACCAACTGAGCTACTGTCGCCCTACACGGATACTGCTCACGGCGAAGTGTCTTCAGAGGAAACGGTCGGGGGCTTCTAATGTACGCAGAGCTGGAAATATGGTCCCCAAGAGTGTGAAGGTAGAGACCGAGGCGAGACCGAGGCGAGACCGAGGCGAGACCGAGACTGGAGGTTCTAAATGTAAAGTAAATGGTTTAAAAGAGTCCATATTGTTCCAAATTTGTTGATTTCTCAGTTTTCTGCTGTGGTTGGAATCAACAGAGTCAGGGTTGAAGCTGAAGTTTCTGTGGCTTTAAAACCATCGACGCTTCTGTAAAAAAACACTCGTTCAAATGGAAACTAGAATTTTTGCTAAAACAAGACAGAATATTTGCATTTGTAAGACTAATGTTTAATGTGTATTGTGACTAGAGAGAGACCAGAGAGAGACCAGAGAGAGACCAGAGAGAGAATAGAGACAGAGAGAGAGAGAGACCAGAAAGACTGGAGAGAGAGAGAGAGACCAGAAAGAGAGCAGAGACAGAGAGAGCGAGAGAACTGGTGAAAGACTGGAGAGAGAGAGAGAGACCAAAGAGAGAGAGAGACCAGAAAGACTGGTGATAGAGAGAGACCAGAAAGAGCTATAGAGAGAGCTAGAGAGACCAGAGAGAGAATAGAAAGAGACTAGAGAGAGACCAGAGAGAGACCAGAGAGAATAGAGAGAGACTGGTGAAAGACTGGAGAGAGAGAGACCAAAGAGAGAGAGACCAGAAAGAGCTAGAAAGAGAGATAGAGAGACCAGAAAGAGACCAAAGAGATAAACGAGAGAAAACCTGTTCTGACTTTGGTCTGTACACAAATAAATTGCACTGCTGTGAAACCGGTGATCGTTCCGGAACTTTTTTGGGAACCCCCAGGCAGATCCCGTTAACCACCACCACCCCTACCCCTTCCTCCCCTCCTAACCTCCTCCCCTACACCCCCCCCCCCTTCTCCTCCACATCCTGCCGCCGCGTCTGACCCCGTTAGCCATTAGCCGTTAGCTCGCTTCCCGCCGTGTGCAGCCGCGCGCATTACAGACTCCCCCAATTTCACACATGCTTAGGCGCGAGTGGACCAGGAGCGAGGGGATATGGTCAGGCTTTGAGGGGGAGGGGGGGTGAGGGGGTGAGGTGGGGGGGGGGGGGGGGGGGGTAGTGTGAGGGAGGCCAGAGACAACAGGATGTGGGACGTCCCGGTTTAATGGACCGACAGCGGCTTCGGAGGCTCCCGTTAGGCCAAACTCACTTCTAATCTCCGGTGCATGGGTGAGGAAGGGGAGCCGGGATTGGACTCGTTCGTCTGAAATAAAGAAGCAGGATTTTGGAGAAAAAGTCGATAGATTCGTGTTGGCAATGAACAGCCAATCATCTACACCAGGGCTGATGGATAAAGCCGGGTGACGTAACTTTCAAAGCAAAACAATGGAATTACAGTGTGTGTTACAATCCATATCACTGGTTTCTGGATCTAAAATCTGGTTCTACGACTGGCTCTATTAGTTTAATAACATCCCTCTCTGGCCTCTCTCTGGCTTTTCTCTTTGGTCTCTTTCTGGTCCCTCTCTGGTCTCTCTCTGGCCTCTCTCTGGCCTCTCTTTGGTCTCACTCTGGCCTTTCTCTCTGGTCTCTTTCTGGTCTCTCTCTAGTCACCCTCTGGTTTCTCTCTAATCTCTCTGGGGTCTCTCTGGTCTCTCTCTGGTTTCTCTCCACGGTCTATTTCTGGTTTATTTTTGGCCCCATCTTCACTGAGCCAATCAGCTCTCTGGTCTCTCATCAGCGATAGAGACCAGAGAGACCAGGAAAAGAGACCATAGAGAGAGACCAGAGAGGGAGACCAAAGAGAGACCATGGAGAGAAACACTAGAGAGAGACCAAAGAGAGGCCAGAGAGAGAGAAAGAGAGACCAGAGAGATACCAGTGAGAGAGCCAGTTACCATAGATGTTTTTTTCATACATTTCTGGTATTTGTGATTTCAAAGTCAGGTACCTCAGCTTTGACCAGGGACATTTTTATTACACTCTCTTTCTCTGCATTCGTTTTCCTTCCCTCACCTCATAAAACAATGACAAAAATCCCAATCATCTCCTCCTGACTCACCGCTTCCTTCTCATCTGATCCCGCCGTAATTAAAAGACCCCAATAATCTCATAATTGCCCTTAATTAAAACCCGCTAACTTCATAAACGTCAATTAGCAAAACTTCCCCTCGGTTCGGACGCAGAGAGTGTGAATAGTGTGAAGGGAGATGTCAGGGATAAGATAGTCCTGCGATAAGAGCCGCCTTCTCCAGACGCAGATTTCCCGGCGCTTTTCAATTTAGATGTTTTCGATATGCGTTCGCCGGATTGTCTCCGGGGGCGGAATGTCCTCAGAGAGATTTCCACGCTTTCGAGATCCAAGAAGTTTGTTTACATGTGTGAGAGATTGTGACGGGACAATGAGCGAGGAAGATGCAAGGCGTGAGTCTCAGTCCTGGGTCTACAGCCTCAGTCCTGGGTCTACAGCCTCAGTCCTGGGTCTACAGCCTCAGTCCTGGGTCTACAGCCTCAGTCCTGAGTTTACAGCCTCAGTCCTGGGTCTACAGCCTCAGTCCTGAGTCTACAGCCTCAGTCCTGAGTCTACAGCCTCAGTCCTGGGTCTACAGCCTCAGTCCTGGGTCTACAGCCTCAGTCCTGAGTCTACAGCCTCAGTCCTGGGTCTACAGCCTCAGTCCTGAGTCTACAGCCTCAGTCCTGGGTCTACAGCCTCAGTTCTGGATCTACAGCCTCAGTCCTGGGTCTACAGCCTCAGTCCTGGGTCTACAGCCTCAGTTCTGGATCTACAGCCTCAGTCCTGGGTCTACAGCCTCAGTCCTGGATCTACAGCCTCAGTCCTGGGTCTACAGCCTCAGTCCTGGATCTACAGCCTCAGTCCTGGATCTAGCCTCAGTCCTAGGTCTGCAGCCTCAGTTCTGGATCTACAGCCTCAGTCCTGGGTCTACAGCCTCAGTCCTGGATCTACAGCCTCAGTCCTGGGTCTACAGCCTCAGTCCTGGGTCTACAGCCTCAGTCCTGGATCTACAGCCTCAGTCCTGGGTCTACAGCCTCAGTCCTGGGTCTACAGGCTCAGTCCTGGATCTACAGTCTGAGGAGTTTTTTGCCATGAAGAATATGCAGCTTTACCGCGAGAGAGGAAACAAGAGAGAGACCGACTTAATATATTCATCTTTTCATGATTTCCAATAAACAAACACGACACTATTCATACTTTTCTTAATAGCTGTGAATTATGATACATGCTATATTCACAAAATTGAGAAGGAGACCAGAGAGATACCAAAGAGACCATACTGTAGAGAGAGACCACAGAGAGACCAGAGAGACCAGAGAGACCAGAGAGACCATACTGTAGAGAGAGACCAGAGAGAGAGAACAGAGAGAGACCACAGAGAGAGAACAGAGATAGACCAGAGAGACCAGAGAGAGACCAGAGTGAGACCAGAGAGAGACCACAGAGAGACCACAGAGAGACCAGAGAGAGAGACCAGAGAGAGAGAGTCTGTAAACATATAGCTGCTACTTTGTTGATTTTATTTACTCATTGCATGTTTTTTTAAGACCCTAACCCCACCCCAATGGTAAAGCAAGGACCACTGTATACACAAATATTTTGTTTTGGTTTCTGTTCTGTCCCATATCAGAATCATAGCTGTAATTTCTGAGCTTTTTGAGACTAAGACAATTGACGTCGTACGCCTCCTACTTCCTGATGGGGGAGATATTAGCGCTGAGATAAAAGTTGATCCAGAATAATGCCTCGGCCTCTGCAGAGACAGACCACGACCCGGGCCCCTCTCTGTCTTCATGACTCCAGACCTAATGAAGAGTCCCAGTGTCCGATGCCGCTCGGACACAGGGATTTTTCATCTGGTAATGTGTCCATGGATCATTAGCCCCTGTGTGTGTGTGTGTGTGTGTGTGTGTGTGTGTGTGTGTGTGTGTGTGTGTGTGTGTGTGTGACAGAGAGAGAGGGGGTGGTAGGATCATTCAGGACCTATGCCTTCACACATCTCCGCACACGTCCACATAGTCCCGCCTTGGTTCAGCCCGACTGGTTGCTGGTTCCGTGGCGGCACGGTGGCTGAGTGGATAGCACTCTCGCCTCTCAGCAAGAAGGTCCTGGGTTCGAATCCCGGTCGGACCAGGGCCTTTCTGAGTGGAGTTTGCATGTTCTCCCCGTGTCTGCGTAGGTTTCCTCCGGGTACTCCGGTTTCCCCTACCACTAAAAATATGTCCAATAGTTCAGGCATGTGCCTCCTGTACTGGCGACCCCGCTCCCATCTCTGTGTGGAGTGAGA